GAGGAGGAGGAGGAGGAGGAGGAGCAGGAGGATCAGGAGAAGGAGGGGGAGGACAGGACGACCGCTAGAAACTAGGTGCTGTGACTCCCTCCGGCGCAAGCAGGAGGAACAGGATGAGGCTCATGAGCTGTTGCGGGCTCGTGCTTCTTCGAAGCGCCCACCTCTCCCCGCCCCACCCCCACCAAATGGGGTTGCCCGACGTCGCAGGCCTTCAGATCCTTCCCAGACGGCTAGCGCGGGCCATTTCCGCGAGACCGCTCGGGCCACAGCAGTCTCAGGATGGGCGGGGGGGGCTCGCGGACCCCGGGTCCGGGCGCCGCGCACGTGCGGCACTTTTTTCCTAGGGTATTTCTTGTCGATGCCCCCTCGACCTGACCTCTTTCCCAGAGTTAATGTGGTGGAGCCTTCAGACTTGCCGCAGGACTCAGGAGGACATCCTGTACCTGGTCTGCGCGCGAATCCTCATCGGCGTGGTGCAGTTCCGGATTGTTTCCAGGTATGCGAAGGGCCGACGCCACTCCCCATTCTGTTCGGGTCATGTAAGACTCGAGTAAGCCGGAACTCGGGTTCGCCGGCGTTTTTTCGACGAGCGCGTCCTGGATTTTGACCGTCCATTTTTTGGTGGGATGTTTGCAGCGGGAGCTCGCGTCAAATTTCAGACTACTCGGTCTCGTCGTTGTTCTGATGGCCCCGTCAGGCCAACCCGAGCACCCCGAAACCCGAGTGTTACGTCTCCCCGATCTGTACGCCACCCAGCCGCAGATAACGCTCCTGATCCCGTCCTCCCCCCTCCGCCGAGCGCGAGGCCCCCAATGTGGGCAGCAGGGACCTCGGCGGCCCTTCCGAGCCCACGGCCTTTTGCGGCCGGCTCCGGCGGACAGCTCCAACCATGCGCCGGTGCAGATCGACCACAGCGACTCGTTCCGAGAGGGCTGCGCAGGCGGGCCAGCAACCTTGCCCCCGGCGTGCGCAATCTGCTGTCCAGCAGCGCGCTCCCATTGTTGCTTCCGTTGCTGCGCTCCTTCTCTTGGGGGGCAGCGGAGGGTGTAGAATCAGGGGTGGAAAAATTGGTGGTTGGTGCTCCTCCCCCGAACAAGCACCGGGACTTTGGCTCAACGTGTCGCGGCGCCAGTTCTGGCCCACCGCGCCTGGGCGCGACGCGCTATCCACGTCCCAGGCCCCGGCCGTCCACGCTCCGAGCCTTTCCCGGCCTCCCGCCCCGCGGGACGCTGTCCGCCCGCAGGGCATGATTGGCGCGTCGCGGGGCCCGCCGCCGAGACACGCTGAGCAGCTTTTCCCGACCGTGCACAGAGTACAGAGCACCAGTCTTAAGTCGGGCCTGTCCCTCTACAGGAGGAGTATCAGAAAATAGTTAACACATAATCAGGGGACGATTTTTTAAGTAGCATGTTTGAGATTTGTTTAAGTCATGTTTTGACTATGCTCAATTTTTCGCCCAAGGTCCGCCTGTACGGTGACATGCCCGACCTAACACCAGTCCCGAGCGGCAGCGGATGCAGGAGGTACCCCCGTGTCCGCAGAGAAGGGCCCCCCAACAGGCCCTGCCTCCCCGAGCTCCAGCGGGCCGGTGTGTCCCGCGCCGGCGTGCCTCCCGAGGCGTTCGCGACGTCCGGGTGCCCCGGGCCAGGCCCGAAGGGGAGGCCCCCTCGACGCGTTTTTTTCTACGTGTTCGCGTGCTCCGACGGCCCCTCGCTGCTCGCAGCTCCGCTCCCTCGGAGGAGCCCGTGGCGACGGACACTCCAGTGCCCGACGTCGGTGCGCTGTCGTGGCGAGCGAGCGGGGCGAAGGGCGAGGAGGAGGCAGGGGCGCAAGGTTAGGGAGGGGGAGGGGGACGAGGGCGAGGAGGAGGCACAACGAAGAGGAGGAGATACAGGAGGAGGAGGAGGAGGAGGAGGAGGAGGAGGAGGAGGAGGAGGAGATACAGGAGGAGGAGATACAGGAGGAGGAAGAAAAGCAACGCAGGTTCCCACCTGTGGACTCACCACCCGCCAGCGGCAGCGACCAGAGATGGAAGAGGAGGAGGAGGAGAAGGATAAGGAGGCCGAGGAGGATTAGGAACAAAAGAGAAGGATGAGGATGAGGATTAGAATGAGGATGAGCAAAGGGGATGTGGATGGGGATGTTGATGGGGACGAGGAGGATTAGGAACAAAAGAGATGGATGAGGATGAGGATTATAATGAGGATGAGCAAAGGGGATGGGGATGGGGATGTGGATGGGGATGAGGACGAAGATGAGGATGAGGATGCTGCTGCTGCTGATGGTGATGGTGATGGTGATGGTGATGATGATGATGATGATGATGATGATGACGATGATGATGATGATGATGGTGATGATGATGATGATGATGATGTGGATGCTGATGATGATGATGATGTAGATGCTGCTCATGATGATGTTGTTGATGATGATGGGGATGAAGATGATGAGTCTGATGCTGATGACGACGATGATGATGCTGATGATGATGTTGCTGGTGAAGGTGATGGTGATGAAGATTAGGATGATTCTGATGATGATGGTGTCGACGATGCTCATGTGCTGTTGATGATGATGTCGATGAGGATGATGATGATGTTGCTGATGATGATGATGCTTACGGTTGTTATGATTATTATGATGGCGATAATGGTAATACTGACGGTGCTGGCCAAACTTATGATGTTGATGATCATGATGCTGATGATGATGCTGCTGCTTATGATGATGCTGCTGCTGATGATGATGCTGCAGTTGGTGATGATGATGTGATGCTGCTGCTGATTATGATGATGACACTGCTGATGATGCTGATGCTGATGATGATGCTGAACATGAAGATGGATATGAAGATGATGATGATGATAATGGTGATGCTGATGCTGATGGTGATGATGATTTCGATGCTAGTGGTGATGCTGCTGCTGATGATTATGCTGATGTTGCATACAATGTTGATGAGACTGTTGCTGATGATGATGATCATGATGATGATGATGTTGATCATGGTGCTGATGATCATGATGATGCTGCTGATGCTTATGATGATGCGGATGACGATGCTGCTGCTGATGATGATGCTGATGCTGCTCCTGATGATGATGGTGATGATGATGATCGTGTCACTGATGATTTTTGATGATGATGCCCATGATGCTGATGATGCTCATGGTGATGCTGATTATGATGCTGATCAGGATTATGATGTTGCTGATGATGATGGCGGTGATGATGTTTTCGACGATGTTGACGATGATGCTGATGATGATGATGATGCTTGTGCTGTCGATGAGGATGATGATGCTGACGCTGATGATGATGCTGACGACGACGATGCTGATGATGCTGATGATGATAAAGATGATGATTTTGCTGTTGATGATCATGGTTCTGATGATGCTGCTGCTGATGATAGTAATACTGCTTGTGATGATAGTGATGATGCTGATTATTATTCTGCTGCTGATGGTGGTACTGATGATGCTGATGATGATTCTGATGCTGATGATGAAGATGACGATGATGATGCTGATGATGATGATGATGATGCTCATGATGGTGCTGATGATGATGACGATAATGATGATGTTGGTGATGATCATGGTGATGATGCTCATGATGATGATGCTCATGATGATGCTGATGGAAAATGATGATGGTGATGATGTTGATGCTGATGATGCTCATGATGATGCTGATGATGGGTGATGCTGATGTTTATGATGGTGCCGATGATTGTGATGCTCATGATGATGCTGATGATTATGTCGATGATGACGAGGATTTTGATGATGATGCTGATGATGATGGTGATGATGATGATGATGGTGGTGATGATGATGCTGATGCTGATGCTGATGCTGATGATGATGATGCTGATGATGGTGATGATGTTGATGATCATGATGATGATGATGATGATGATGATGCTGATGATGATGATGATGATGATGCTGATGATGATGCTGATGATGATTATGATAGTGATGGTGGTGATGATGATGATCATCAGGAGGAGGAGGAGGAGGAGGAGGAGGAGGAGGAGGAGAGGAAGGAGGAGGAATGGGAGGGGGAAGGAAGAGGATCGATTGTAGCAGAGAGGACAGCGCGGACTGAAAGCGAGAGTGCGGAGGACGCGGGCAGCCGGCAAGCGCAGCGGGGAGAGCGCTTCGAGTGTCCGTGCCCAGCAGCACGAGGCTCGCGGGGCCTGCCTAGCTCGTGGCCGCGGGAGCCGCCGTAACCATGGCAGGGGCCGTCGCTCCCACCACCCGCAACCTCCTGCTGCTTCGCCTTCGCATTCTCCTCGTCCTCTTCCCGCTCCGCCGCCCTCCGCCTTGCCCGGCCGCCCTTCTCCGACCTTCTCTTGTGCATCTTCGTCCTCATCAGCTTTCTCCGCCTCCTGCTCCTCATTGTATGCCCTCCTCCTCCTCCTCCTCCAGCCTCGTCTTCGGTCTTTCGCTCCTCCTGAAGCAGTTCCGCTCCCTTCGCTTGGGAGTGGCCCAGCCTGTCACACAGTCGATAGTGGTGTGTTTGTTTGTTTGCTTGTTGTTTGTTTGTGTGCATGTGTGTGTGTGCCGTTGGAGGTAGTGCTCCGGCCAGGCATGGACGTCAGACACCCGTGAAGCTGGAGCGGCTCGGGCTCAGGGCGCATGGCTCCCAGAAAAAACACGCGGGACAGTGACCTCGATCACCGTGAACGCCGACACGCGGGACTGGCGCAACGTGCTCCCCCTAGCGGCCTTCTTCTCGTCCTGTATGCGCATAGGTGCCTTCATGCAGGAGCGCGTATGTGCTTACATTCACATGCACGTATCTACTCGGGATCTCATCATAATGGGGGTCCAACAATTTGTGCCTCAACGCTTCTGTGTGGGGGGGTCTAGATCGGAACGTCAAACGTTGCTCCTGTGGGGGTCTGGATTTTGGTACGGTTGCGCCGCTCTTGGGGGTGGTCCAGAACCAGCCGTCAAACACTTTTTGACCCCCCCCACTATTGTGTGATCCGGAGTAGGTATACACATAGTTCACGAACCATGGTAACGTGTGATGGAGTGCCTTCGCAGAATGTGATTGCTCAAGTCTTATCTCTAATGGTCGTGTGGGCCCTTGAGCTGGCCGCAGCAAGGGCCTCCGACCTTAAACTCCTCTGGGTCCTCGGCTCTCGGCAGTGTTCGCCGTGCCCAAACTGCTCGGTCATCTTTCCTGCGGTTTCGTGCTCGACCCTCTCGATCAACGTCACCTGTCCTACATTCGCGTGTCCAAGCTCAGCGTCGTTAGCTGCTGGGGCATCCTCGTGGTCAGGCGTCGTGGGTTTTCTCACAGGACTGGTGCTGGCGCTGGTCATCTGCCTGGATTCTGATATTGTCTGGCAGTGTCTCGGAGCGCTGTGTAAGTCTTCGACAGCTTCGGAGCCCGCACGCGAGGAAGAGATTAGAGACCTAGCACTGAAGCAGCTCTCGATCATCCGTCAACGTCATGGCGGCACGTGGTGAGGTAGGTCTAGTCACGTACGATGCGCATAGCCTGGAGTTGTTGCATGGACGTCTGATTCTAGCGGTCGGGCCACAGCCAGAACATTTTGCAGTTTAGACTTCAGGTGATGCCATATTAGTGGAAGAGCTGGCGACAGTGATGGCATCGCCGAGTTCAGGGGCTCTCCTGGCTTGGGAGATGCCCCAGGCGGCATCGCAGTCGGCAGCACCTATCGTTTCAGATCGGTGCCGACGGCCGCGGACGTGGTGCAGCACGTTCGTGCTGGAGCACTCGAGGCTGGCGCTGGTGCGCCACCTGCCCCAGCCGTTCCGCGGGTGGCGGGCCAGCAGGCGGGAGGAATCGCGGCCCTTCCAGCCCACGCCTGCCCCGCCCGCCGCGGGCGCCCTGGTGCAGGTAGCCCCATCGGGCGGGGCATCGGCTGGGCCCCGCGCCCGCTGCAGCAGTGGCGGCGGCGGCGGCGCCCGTCGCCGGCCCTGCGGCTGCGGCGGCAGCGGCGGCTGCCCCTGGCCCTGCTGGAGCGGCGGCGGCTGGCCCTGGCGGCTCGCCGCTCGTCGGCTCGCCGCTCGTCTGGCTGGCGGCAGAGGACCACCCCGTCATCGCGAAGGGCACGTCGATCGCCGCTCTGCCAGCCAACGCTATGGTGCTGGGCGATCGTGCGGTGATTCCCTGGGGCGCCACCTCCATCTTCGCTCGCGGGGTGGCAGAGGCCGGCGTCTTACCAGTTTGTGCACGGTGGTCTGCGAGATCTACCAGTCACCATCGGCGCGTCCAGTGATAGGACACCCAGTTTCGGAGAGGCGGTCTCGGCCATGGACCGGACGCCTCCTGCAGGCGGGATCGGTCTCAATGGCCCTGCGGTCGCTTACTCTGGCAGCTTAAGCAAATCAGAGATGACGACTCGAGCCCGATAGGTTCGAGGAGGGAAGATTCTAGAAGGAATTCGGCCAGTGTATGAGCATAAAGTTTTGTGCAGGATATTGAATGCGGCTGCGACTCGCGACCAGCTGAACCCACCATCCACGAAGTGGGCCGAGTTGGAGTGTCGTAAGATGAGCTTCGTAAAAGAGGCCCACGGGGCCGCGCCACCGTTTCCAGATTACTCAGCTGGCGATCTGTTCATGGGATGGGGTTCTCAGGCAGCATGCGGAGGCATCAACGCAGCCCTTTCCCAGCACGTGGCCGTTCATCTGAAGGACGAATCAGCGATTGCAAAGGAGAGCACGAAAGCTCGCGAAGAGTGGATCGCCCTCGGACGTGGACGCGTCGAGTGCCGCGGAGAGGCGGGCTATAGCCCACGGGCGTGGAAGGATGAGCCCCTTGCCCCCTCCTGGTGAGCCTGGCCGACCCACGGAAGGTCCCGCGCGCCATGGAGCTGGGGGCGGCCGTCGACAGCAAGGCCATGCCCACAGACCTCCACAAGTGCTGGGAGCTGCGCTCGCACATCCCGTTGGTCAGGCAGTGCCGGGCGATGCGCCTCGTCATGTTTCTCCTCTCCCTCCAGTAGATGCTGCAAGCCGCGTCCCAGGCCAAGCTTTCTCTTCTGATGAGGCCCTTCGCGGGCGAGAGCGCAAGGCGCGCGCTGCCAACTTAGTTTTTGATGCGCTGAGTCGGTTGCGCGGCGTCGGCTCCACGGGCGCCCCGCCCAGCCTCGCCCAAGAAGAGGTCCATTATCAGGTGCTGAACATGTGTTTCGGTGCTTGGCAGCAGAAATCATGCACCTTTGCCGCGTGGCGCCTTCCGTGAGGTCATGCTTGCGGGCCTGCCCTGATCGTCGGAGGAGGTTGCGAGTCGCGTCGAACCCTGTCGCTCCGCCCCCGTGTCTCTGCCTAAGTCTGGAGCGCGCGCCCCCCGTCTCCAGGGCGCGCCCGGCCAGGATGGGCAGTTTTTTTTTGTTTTTGTTTTTGTTTTTTTGTTTTTGTTTTTTTTTCTTTTTTTATTATGTTTTTTATGTTTTTATTTTCTATTTTTAATATTTCATTTTTAATATTAACGAGGGTGCTGATCACATGCTCAAGTCCCCAAACCAGTGGAGGGAGGAGGTGGTGGTGGGGTTCTCGCCCCGCTCCGGCCCCCACTTTGATGGGGTCCCACGATCTGACCAGCCTGCTTGCGAGATTGTTGTGGCAGACTTGTGGGAAGCATGGGCCGTGGATGTTCAATTCATTGCTGGGGGCCATATCGCTCCTTTTCTCGTCGATAAGTGAGGCGTCGTCCTTTGGGTGGTCACGGGCTGCAGAGGTCCAGGCCAGAGATTTCGAACGGCACCTCTGATGGGAATCGCAGCTGGGGCGGTGCTGTCCTGACTGCAAGTTCCCCGCGGCAAGGCCCCGTTCGGTGCCCTGTTGGACGCCCGCATTTGCTTTGCAATGGCTCGCGCAGCCGCGGGGGCTGCGCAAGTTGTCCGGCCCGCCGCCGATTTGCGCCGGCATCCTTCGGCGCTGGGGGGCGCTGTCTGTCGATCGTGGTCTCCAGAGAAGGGTCCCAGGGCGGTTTTATCCAGTCATGCGTGTCTGTCCTTGGGGATGGCCATGGGCTTCCTGGCTTGCGCAGCGGGCTCGCTCTCGTCATGTCCTCCGGAGTATTCGGATGGGTCTTGACCGCCTGCTTGAAGAGGATGCCCCTGCTTCAGATCTCCCGACCAGCGAGCCTGTCGCCCTGCCGTGCTGCGGCAACTTGATGGCGTCGGGGCTCGACGAGGACTCGATGAGCGCCTGCAAGACTCCAGCAGTTAACCGGCTGAGGCGCGTGTGCTCCCAGGCGCGTGGAGAGGTGGAGGCGGCGTGCATATGTGAACCTTGGGATGCCTGGTGGGCGGGGGGAGGGGGCGGGGCCCGATGCCGCGCGGCCCGAACAGAGCGACCGTGGCCTTCGCGCGCTTGCGTGCAGGGCCGCGGGTCGCAGGCTGGAAGATCAGTGGGGGCTTGGGCTACGTGGCCCCGATCTTCCTTAACGCCCGGCACATGCTCTCCCTTCCCAGTGCTCTGCGCCAGCTCCTGCGCGAGAAAGGGAGTTTCAAGAGGCGGCCCTGGCAATCGGAGGCGCTGGAGTTCAACGGGATCTGTTCTGTCGCTGCTCGCCTGGGCCAGTGCGCGGATGCCATTGGGCTCGCGGGCGCAAGCTGCCGACGTGTTTCTCTGGTTGCGCTGTTGGCTGGTTCCCTTGGAACGTCGCCAGCGTCGTCGAGGTCCCAGGCGCCCGTGAGAGGTTCAGGTGTCGCTGCGCCATCCCTCCAGTTGCGCCTCGCCGAGCTGTCCTCGGCGACGTCGACCCGCTCCGGGACCTGGGCTCGGCGGGGCCAGTCGCGCGCCGCTTTGGGCCCTTCCCGCGAGAGCCCGACTTCCCTTGCGAGGAGACCACCGAGACCCCCCTCCAGGGCGCCACGCGCACAACTGGCCTTGCCGCGCCGTTCGTTCTCAGCGAGGGGCGCGGGGGCCGGGGGTCTAGCGCCGCCGAGCCCGCCAGGGTCGAGCGCGCCCTGAGAGCCTCGGGGGCCGCTCGAGTTCAAAATTCGCATCTGGGGGGCAACGTGGGCGACGTCCTGGCTGGGAGAATGGCGGGGTGAAGGGCTTCGCCCTATTGGCATGCTGCTGGATGATTAGCACCTCGGAGTTGGCCGCCTCGTCGCTGGGCCTCCGTCGGGCAAAGGGCCCGGTCGACTGTGGGTCGCGCCCCTGGCGCGCATTCGGTTCGAGCGCGGTGAGAGGCCCCCGGCGTCGACGCCCTCGGGTTCCTCATCCGCAGTGCAAGCTCCGCAGCGCCAGCTACCGCGGGCGCTGGCGCCTTCAGCGTTCCGCGTGGGCTCCCACTCCCTCCGCGCCGCTCCAGCCCCGCCGCGATGCCGTTGGGCCCTGGGCGCGGCGGCGACGCGGCGTCGGCGCCTGGCCGGGGCCAGGGGCGCGGAGCGAGGCGGCGCGGGACCAGAGGCGCTCCGTGCGCGCAGGCCAGGGCGATGCTCCGGCGGGACGTCGCGGGGCCCAGCTGCGCCTGGGCCTCGTCGAAGATTCGAGGCCAGCGCGATTTCGGAGCGCGCCTGTGCCATTCGCGTCGAGCGGGTGATGGGCGGCGCCGCGTCAGCCCACGATAGTTTCGAAGCTCTTTGGGGCGCCCCGAGGCCACTTGGGGAAGGCCCCGATGGGATTTTCTATAGGTTGCCGTCGGGGCATCGGCTAAGATGGCTCCAAGAAGCCACCAGAGACTCCCGATGCTTTCGCGCGAGGCTTCCACGAGCC